GATAATTTTTGTATATGGTGTGAGGTTCATTTTTTGTATATGGATGGTTAGTGTTCCAGCACTATTGGTTGAACTTTCTCCATTGAATTTCCTTGGTATCTTTATTAAAAATCAGTTGACCATTAGTGTGGGTCTATTTCTGGATTATATTTCTGTTCCATTGATGTGACTGTCCTTTTGACAATACCACACTATTTTGATTAATATGCTTTTATAGTAAGTCTTGAAATCAGCCTTATTGCATTGGCTAGGACCTCCAGTATGATAATGAATAGGAGTGAAGAGAGTGGATGTTCTTGCCCTGTTCCCAATCTTAGAAAGAAAGCATTCACTCTTTCACTGTTCCATATGATGTTAGCTGTGGTTTTTTCACAGATAGTCTTTATCAGGTTAAGGAGGTTCCCTTATGTTCTTATTTTCTGAGAGTTTTTATCATAAATGATTTTGAACTTTGTCAAATGTCTTTTCTTCACTTGTTGATATGTGGTTTTTCTCATTTAGTCTGTTGATATAATCAGTTACCTTGATTGACTTATGACTGTTGAATCAATCTTGCATTCCTAGAGTAAGCCATAGTTGATCATGATGTGTTTTCCTTCTTACATATTGTTGGATTTGATTTACAATATTTTATTAGGAACTTTTACATTTATGTTTATGAGGGATATTGGTCTGTGCTTTCCTTTTCTTGTAATGTCTTTGTCTGGTTTTGGTATCAACATAATGCTGGCCTCATAAAATGAGTTCAAAAGTGTTCCCTTCCCCTCTGTTTTCTGGAAGAGTTTATATAGAAGTGGTATTAATTCTTCTTTAAGTGTTTGGTAGAATTTGCCAATAAAGCCCTCTGGGTGTGAGTTTTTCTTGTGTGAAGGTTTTTAACTACAAATTCAATTTCCTTAATAGATATAGGGATATTAAGGTTATCTATTTATTCTTGAGCAAGCTTTGGAATTTGTGTCTTTCAATGAATTTATCCATTTCATCTGATTTACCAAATTTATTGGCATAAGTTGTTCATAATAACCTCTATTTAATGTCTGTAGGATCTGTATTGATGGCCCCTTTTTCAATCCCATTATTAAGAATTTGTGTGTTCTCTTTTTTTCCCTTGGTTAATCTACCTGGAAGTTTATCAATTTTATTGATGTTTTTGAAAAACTAGTTTTCGTTTCATGATTTTTTTCTCTACTTTTTTTCCTATTACATAACTGATTGATTTCATCATTTCAATATTGATTTTGCTCTCATCTTTATTACTTCCATCCTTCTACTTGCTTTTGGGATAATTTGCTCTCTTTTTGTCTCAAGGTAGTAGATTAGATTACTGATTGGGGACCTTTCTTTTCAGACATAAGTGTATAATGTTGTAATTTCCCTCTAAATATTGCTTTAACTGCATCCAGCAAATTTTTATGTTATATTTTCATTTATTTAAAATATTTTCTGATTTTTTGGAGGGGAGGGCTTTTTTGACCCTCGGTTATTTAGAAGTATGTCATTAAATTTGCAAATACATGAGGATTGTTCACATATATTTCTGCTACTAAGACCTAATTTAATTTTGTTCTGGTCACAGAATACTCTTTGTATAATTTCAGTTATTCTAAATTGGTTGAGGATTGTTTTAAGTCCCAGAATTTATTCTGTCTTGGTGACTGTCCCATGTTCTCTTGAACAGAATGTATATTTCTGCTATTGTTGGGGTGAAATGTTCTATAAATATCAATTAGATCAGTTTGGTTGACATTGTTGTTCAGCTCTCCTATATCTGTACTGATTTTTTGTTTACTGGTTCCACCAATTACTGAGGAAGGAATTCTGAAGTCTCCAACCATAATTGTGAATCTGTTTATTCTTTCAGCTCTGTTGGGTTTTGCTTCATGTGTTTTAAAGCTCTTATGTTAGATGCATTCACACTTAGGATTGGTATATCTTCCTGATGAATTAACTCCTTAATTATGTAATGTCCCTCTTAATCCCTGGTAATATTCCTTGTTCTGATATTAATATAGACATGTATTTGCATGGTGTATCTTTTTACTTTTAACCTATGTATTTATATTTAAAATAAGTTTCTTGTAGATAGTATATAGGTAAGTCTTGCTTTTATATCCATATGGAATATTGGGATATTTCCATCATTTACATTTAATGTAATTTTTGGTATGGTTGGCTCTAAATCTACCATTTTGCTAGATGTTTTCTATTTGCCCTATGTGTTCTTTGTTGTTGTTGTTGTTTTCCCTGCCTAATTTTTTTTAAATTTCTATTTGCCTTTTGATTGAATCTTTTTTTTTTTTGTGAGGAGATCAGCCCTGTGCTAACATCTGCCAATCCTCCTCTTTTTTTGCTGAGGAAGACTGGCCCTGGGCTAACATCCGTGCCCATCTTCCTCCACTTTACATGGGATGCCGCCACAGCATGGCTTGACAAGCGGTGCGGCGGTGTGCGCCTGGGATCCGAACCGGTGAACCCCGGGCCGCAGTGGCAGAGCATGCGCGCTTAACCGCTTGGGCCACCAGGCCGGCCCCTTGATTGAATCTTTTATTCTGTTTTGTCTTTACTACTGGCTTATTATACCTCTTTAAAAATATTATAGTGGTTGCCATTAGGTTTACAATATATGTCTTTATCATATTCCCCTTTCAAATAATGTTATACTACTTCATGTATAGTATAGGAACCTTCCAATGGTGTACTTCCAGTTCTTCTCTCACATTCTTTGTGCTGTTTTTGTTGTGCATTTTACTTTTGCATATCTTATGCAGCCCACATGAAGGAACTTTTTTGGTGATGGAAATGTCTATATCTTGATTGTGGTGATCATTACATGGGTGTATATATTTTTCAAAACTCAGTATACACTACACAGAAGATGAGGGAGTTTTATTGTATATAAATTATACCTAAACGAAGATTTTAATATATAAATGATATATGTGTGTGTATATATGTGTGTCTGTCTGTCCATCTGTCTCTTTCTCTATAGGAAGAATGAGAATATGCACCTAGTATAAGACTTTCCTAGACTATGTACTATTTAATTAATAGTATTAATTAAATGTTGTTGCTGGTGGTGACAATTTGAAAAGAGTTAATATTTAGTAGAGAGAAGTATATAATGAATACTTAGGTTATTTGCATTTAAACCTTGCTGTCATATGAGTATCATATTTATAATTAAGAGCACCCACAAGTGAGCTGATACTTTGTCTCTTTTTTAAAAGAGACAAATGAGGAAATTGCTAGAATCGTATGCTGTTCCTCCTTTCTGTTTTCTAAACCAGAGAAAGAACAAGACTGTCTAGCATTCTATGCTGTCCCATATAGTATCCACTAGCCATGTTTAATTTAAATTAAATTAAAAATTCAGGTCCTCAGTCATGCTGCCACCTTTCAAGTGCTTAGTGGCCACATGTGGCTAGTGGCTATAGTATTGGACAGTGCAGATATAAAACATGTCCATAGCACAGAAGGTTCTATTGGATAGCACTGTCAAAGGAAAAATTAACAAGTTGTCCATGGCTTGCCTTTTGCCTTCCTTTAATGAAAGGCTAAGTTCACTTTTTCTGGCTGCTTGAATATCATTCTCTGAATGTATCTCCATTCTTTTTACCATTAGTCCAAAGAAAATATGAGTGGTTAATCTTGAAAAGCACCTGTTACTGACCAATGAAAATCCTTACCCAGGGTCCCCATGGGTTTCCTAGGTAGCAAATATTCAGTAGTCATTTTTCAGTTTTTCTCTCACTTGACCTGTCCGCTGTGTATGACACCTTTGAATAGGCCATTCTTCGTGGTTCTTTCTTCTTTTTGTTTATATGATGCTGACTCTGCCTTTTCTACTTCTGTCTCTCTGGTTGCTTTTTCTTAGCCTTTTGTAGGCTCTTCTTTCTCTGCCCATGCCTTAAATGACAGCTTTCCACAGAGGTCCATCCTTAACCTTGTTTTTGCCTCCCTGGACACCAAATACCACATATATGCTGAAGACCAACAAGTCCGTAACCAGCTCAGACCTCTAACCTAAGTTCCTAGTGAATATATCTACAGGGCTGCCCTACGAGCATCCCAACCTCCATATGTCCAGGATGAATTCACGCTCTTCCTCTCTTGCAGACCTGCCTCTACCCCACCTCAGTGGGGGTCATTAGTGTCCACTGTGCTTCTAGAAACTTGGGAACCTCCCTCATCATCCACACCAGCTAATCAATCCCTATTGATTCACCTCCTAATTACCTCTCAAGTTGATTTTTTTGTTTATTCCCAAGGCCCTGTTTTCAGGTCCTCCACATCTCCCAGTATTCTTACAACATATTAATCTTTCTCCTTCCCATTTATCTTCCCCACTGCTGAGTAGTGGGGAATCTCTCTGAAATGCAGAGTTGACCACTTCATTCCCCTATTTAAAATCTCTCTAAGGTCCCACATTATGTTTGGCAAAAATGCAAACATGTTAGCATAATATAGTGTCTCTTCTGGGTCTGCCTCTTCTCACCTCTCCCATCCTTGTCTTTCAGTCCTCATCTTGGAGTCTCTGTTCATTCAGGTCCGGCCACTTAACTGCCTGGAATTCTCAGAACCAACCATGTGCTTCTCTCTCACCTCTATGCCTTGTGAACTCGGTGTTCCCTTTACTTGGAGCTGATACCTCTCCCCATCCCCACCCGCCACACACCCTTTTCCTCCTTGCCTGGCTGATTCCATCTTGCCCTTCAGGACTCCGTTCAGGCCTCTCTTCATCTGGGAAACATCCCCTCTCCGTCAGGCCTCCCTTCATCTGGGAAACATCCCCTGATGTCTTCCCTCCCCAGGCTCATCTGTGCCCTTCTGACTTCCCCTGTGTTCTCATAGTATTCTGTGCTTTTCTCTACCACAGCAGTTATTTCCCTCTATTGTAATAGCACAGAACGTTTTCCGTAACAATTTATGAATAATCTAAATGTAAATTCTGAAAATCTACTTGAATTCACAGACTAATGAATCATATTATAGTAACCTTCTACTGTGTTCTTATAGGTGAAGATGCTGGAAGCAGATCTGGTTTCAAAAATGCTGCGAGCTGTTCTACAGTCTCATAAAAACGGAATGGCATTACCCCGGCTCCAAGGAGAGTACAGATCCTTGACTGGAGACTGGATCCCCTTCAAGCAGTTAGGCTCCCCTACACTAGAAGCCTATCTGAGAAGTGTGCCCGGAGTTGTCAGGATAGAGACTAGTAGATCTGGAGAGGTAAGGAGGTAACTGTGCGTGTCGGAGAAGTCAGCCAATTCTTCATTGCCCGTCTGGCACTTCCGGTCTCACAGCCAGGATAGAAGTCCAAGTGAAGAGTATTAACTAAGTGGTTTGGGATCGGTGGTGATGGAGAGAACAGCATCCAAAGCACAACCCAGATTCTGGTGTTTTTTTGTTTTATCCCTCAAATTCTTTCCATTGTAAAAATAAGATTTTAACCACATTAAATAAAAAATTTTAAAGTTAAAGTTTACCCAGTCTCCATGTCCAAACAGAGTAACAGTACTGGAGACCTTAACTGCCTAAACGTCATACCCGTCCATTAAAAACCTACTACAGCTGTTTTTGCCCGGGTCACTAATGACCTCCTGATTGCCAAATCTAATAGATACTTGTAACTTCTCGTTGTTTGCCCTCACTCCTGTCTAGTCCTACTATCTGGACGCTGGTTCAGTCCCTACTTGACGTTCAGCACTTTTGATTATTACAGGGCTCTCCCTGCCTCCTTGTCTTTAGTCCCTTCTCTCTAGCCTGTTCCCACCTTCACCGCAATGTGATCATATTATTCTACAGTTTTAAATCCTTTCATTTCTCTGGAAGAATATTTTATGGATAACATGGGCAATTTGGTGGTAGCAAATAAATCTTTTATTGCACATACCCTGTGACCCAGCAGTTTCTCTTCTTGGTATCTGCCCAGTGTACAGTGTGAAAGAGATGGAAAAACCACCATCCAAGAGACAAGAAAGCACCCACCCCCCAACAGCACGTTTTTCTGGGTACATTTCTACATATGTAAATACATAGAACAGGTCTGGAGTATTTCTCACCGAAACTTGTAATAGTCATTCCTCTGTTTGCGGGGGGGTTGGGGAGGCAGGAGGAGGAAGAAGGAGCCAGGACTGGAAGAGTGGTCAGAGGGGAAGCTCACCTCGTCTGTGGTCATTTTATAAGAAGCAGGTGTAAATTAACTAAATATTATATGAATAATAAAACTTGCTTCAGCATCCTTGATTCTCCCAGACAGATGTAAGCGCTCCTTTCTGTCTACTTGGCACGTTGTAATACATCTAACATAACACGTGACACAGTGTTTTCCATTTAGTCTCTTTGCCTCTCTCTTTTTCCTTCATAGGTTTCTGGAGGATGAGAGATTGTTTTTTCACCTCTAACAGTCGGTGCTTAATAACTGTGTGGTGAATGTGTGAATGATCAAATGTCTGAATGAATTAATAAGTTAATGCTTCATCAAGTTACTATGCTATAATTTACTGAACTCTTTATTCCCTTTTTTTGGCATTTTTAATGTTTCCAGGTTTTGACTATTAAAAATAACCCCTATTACAAATACTTGGGTATGTAACTTTTTCTTCTTTTGAATTATATTCTTGTAATCTATTTTCAGGAATAGAAATACTGGCCCAAAGAGTAGGAACATGTTTTGGCTTGTGGTGTAAAGCCTTATTGCTTTCCTGTTCTTGATTTCAACTTAGAATCAAAGGCTTTAACTCGAGATGGGGCTTTAGAGATCATCTAGTCCCAATAGTCTGCATACTTTTTTCAAATATCCTATATATCGCACCAATTTTTTTAAAAGATAAAAAGCTGAGCTGCTGTGTTTTAAGCAGGTGCTGGAGGGTCCAGGGCCTCTGCTTGTCCTGCCTCACCCTCACACCCCTGCCACTGTGAGGACCCCGAGGCACCTCTGTGGAATCCTGTGGCTCCATTTAAGTTTGAAAACCCCAGATCTAGGCCCACCCATGTTTTACAGCTGAGAATAGACTGATTTGCCCCAAGTCACCCAGCTAATCTGTTGCAGTGGCAAGACGAGGATTTCGTGGTCTTTGAGAGGTAATACAAGTAGCAGTTACAGGTACATACTTTGGATTCAGAGAGAGAGCCTAGCTGTGTGACTTAGGAAGGTTGCTTAACTTTCCTGAACTTCTGTTTTTCCATGTATAAAATGGGAATAAAACATCTCACAGATTGTGTGAGATAATATATGCATATCACAGGTTTCTTTTGGTTCATTTGTTAATCCCATAGCACCTAGCACTTGGAGATGCTTAATAAATATCTGTTTAAGGAATAAATGAAATTTTCAATTTGAGGAAAGAAGATTATTCAATGTGCTAGACTATGCTCGATTTCTCTTGTGGGAAGTATGATTTTGTGTCTAACGTTCTCAAGGATAGAAATACATGGATATTTGCATACAGCTGGATTCGGAACATGTAAACTCACTAAGATCCACTTGTAAAAATCGGCCTCTAGGCACCAGTGAATCTGAGAGGTGTTTCTCCTCTCACCTTCCTCTTGTGAATAGATTACCTGCTATGCTGTGGCCTGCACAGAAACTGCAAGAATTGCTCAGCTTGTGGCTCGTCAGAGGAGTTCTAAAAGGAAAACTAGGTGGCAAGTTAATTGTCAGATGAGAGTTAAGAAAACCATGCCCTTTTTTCTAGAAGGTAAAGTCTTTTCACATGCTAAAGCTTTTAAACCCATCTATGAATACATTGTCATATGAAATTATGGAAATAGTGCTTATAATCATGATAAACATCTTTATTTGTTAACATTCATTTATCGAGCGAGAAATCCTGAAGCTAGTATTTCCATTTGAAATTAAGTGAACATGATAAGTATGACTTACTGAGTGAAGTAATTACACTGTGAAATAACTCAGAGTAGATTTTAATTAAACTTATTATGGTGAAGTGTGGATTTATTCTTTTAGGTTATTTGGGGGAAAGCCTCATCCAGAATGTTGGATGAACCAAAAACTATGCTTTAATGTCTTCTTTAGCAAATCATGTCTTTTAGTATAAATCCTTTATTTTCAGAAAAACATAAGTTATATAGTACACAAAGTTGTTATAGACAACTCGGCCTGCGTTTACTGAATGCTTATCTCAAGGAGCTTATAATAAGTTCTAAAACTAAATTCTTAAGAAATAGTTTAATGATAATATAAGAGCAGATGCCTAAATGCCACAATGAGCATTTTAGACAAGGGAGCACTCATGGCAAGTGAGAATGGCAATGGAGAGCTTCATGGCAAAAGGGAGACTTGAACCCAGAACTCAAACAATGGGAAGAATTTAAATGGATGGAGAAGACATGGGAGGACCGAGATGTGGCTGTGTGTGCTGCATTTGTAAGAATGGAAGGTGGCTGCCACTGAAGTGTTAGTTGGTGAGTAGAGGGAAGGTAACTGGCTAGTCCGGCAGATGAAGCCCACCTCTTGAAGAACCTCATCTGCTAAATACTCACCAGTCTACTCTCTCCCTATTGACCAACCCTCTAGTGGCAGCCTCCTCATGTTCTTAGAAACTGTTCTGAGAATAGAGACCCACAGAAAACATCTGGACAGGGGAGTGACGTAGTGAAACTAGGGTTTTGGGAGGTTAATTGATTCCATTATGTATGCCTAACTTCATAGGAAAACCAAAAGCAACCCTCAGACAACCAGGATTTTCTTCAGACTTTTCTATCAGCAAAAAACCTAATCCAACACTGTTAAGAGACAAAGGAAACTCTCTTGGAGTTAAGTCTGATGCTGAAATGCCGCCTTACGCATTACACACAACTGCTGGAAGTGAAGTATTCAAAGATGCTCCAGTGCCGAGGCATGTGACCATGTCTGCCAACAACAGGTACTTGGGCTTTGTCTGGCTAAAAGGAGAAGTTTGGTGAACCTAGGATAATAAATGTTAAAAATGCATGTTCAGGGTAAGAAGGAAGTACTTTCTGTTTTGTCTAATGTAAGTTCACACGTAGTAGAGAAATGCATCATTACTAGTAAGTCCTCTTTTCCTAGGTGCCCGAACATCGTTCTCCAAACATATCTCCATTTTATATTTTCTCTGAATTGTTGGCAATCTCTGCTTATAAAATTCATTTTAAAAGCTCTCACAGGTTATTCTAAGATGCTATTTCAGCATAACTTACAACATTTCTGAAAACCTTTCTTATAATTAATTTTGTAAGTTTTAAGTAAAATCTGATTGATTTGAACATTCCACTATGCTCCAATGATCTTATTCATAATTATACAGTAGCATGATACACCCATGCATCAGAATACCGGACTCGCAGTAATAACACAATCTTAAAGTCTTAGTTTGGGTGCTGCCATTCACTAGCCGGGTAAAATAAGTGAAATTATTTAATCTTTTGGGGCTGTAGTTTCCTCATTTGTCCAATGAAAATGTTAAACTAGGTGATCTCAAAGTTCCTTTCTGACTCTAAATTTATGGTTTCATAAGGTAACTCGGGTCTGAAAACTATGACCCATGGGCCAAATCTGGCCCATTGCCCATTTTTGTAAATAAAGTTTTATTGGAACCCAGCCACATCCCTTTATGTGTTGTCTGTGGCTGCTTTTGCACAACTGGAGAGTTGAGTAGTTGTGCAGAGACTATATGGCCTGCAAAGCCTAAAATATGTGCTATTGGACCCTCTACAAAAAAGGTTTGCCAAGTCCTGATATAGAAGAATCAGTATCACATTCTTCCATCCTATTTGTGGTTTTACAAGACAAATTTTGTTATGTCATATCCCTTTAAATCAGTGTTCAAAAATTACATTTTGTGTAAAAGATAGTTTCTCCCAATACTAGAACATTTAGAAAGAATTTTTTTAAAAAGTGAGCTAAAAGGGTACTAACTTTTTATATTTTGATTTTTTTATAAAGTAACCCTAAAATATTTTTCATAATGGTATATATTTAATGTGGTTTATGGTTAGTTATTATAATTTTGATAAGGTCTAGAAAATACATAGTTAAAACTTGGATTTTGACCCAGAGCACTAGTTGGGTCGAGTATGTGACTGAGGTGCCATTGTCTTCCCTGATTGTGTGTCTCAACTTCAAGATCTCGTTTTGAACTGAGTCTATAAAATGACAGCAAAATCAGCCACCCTGGATTGTGGGCCGAGGGGAGCATTCTCCACCCTGCAGTCTGATGTCTCCTCCCTCTCACCTAGTAGCACTGGGTGGCCCAGGTAAGTGCCTAACATCCCTGCGGGCAGCACCAGTAGGGACTGAGCGGGGGCCCTGCCAGCACCAAGTAGCCCAAAGAGCAGGTGCAAGGTGATGCTCTCTGACCTGAGCCTAGTGTGTTTCCACCTCGCACCAAGCAGCACCAGGCCCAGGGAAGTGCATTCTGCTCCTGTGGGCAGCACCCGCAGAGATCAAGCAGTAGCCCCAGCAGCAATAGGTGAATGTGCCAAACCAGAATAACAGTGTAAGGGCTCTGAAAACTAAATTATCATTGGAACCACAGCCTACAGAAGTGGTCCAGAAGCTACGAGCTAAACGTAAACAGGGTAACTGCCTGCTAACATAGGAAATTTATATAGGATCCAGGGTCTCCTAACTATGTCCAAATGTCCAGGATACAATAAAAAAAATCACTTGTTACACTAAGCACCAGGAAGATGACAACTTAAATGAAGAAAGACAATCAAGAGATGCCAACACCAAGATGAATCAGATGTTGGAATTATTTGACAAGCATTTTAAAGCAGCTGTCATAACAAAATGCTTCAATGAGCAATTGCAAATACTTTTAGAAAAAATTTTAAAAATGAGAAAATTTGCCAAAGAAATAGAACATACTTAAAGAACCAAATGGAAACTGTGGTACTGAAAAATGCAACAACCAAATAAAAAATGCACTGGATGGGCTCAATAACAGAATGAATATGACAGAGGAAAGAATCAGTGAACTTGAAGATAGAACAATAGAAATTACCCAATCTGAACAACAGAGTAAATAGACTTCAAAAACAAAACAAAACAAAACAACTAGCAGAACCTGAGGGGCCAATGGGAAAAAAACAACTAGCAGAGCCTTAGGGACCTGTGGGTAAAATACGAAAAGATGGAAAATCTGTATTATCCAGATCTCAGAAGGAGAAGAGAAAGAGTGGGGCTGAACGAATATTTGAAGGCATAATGGCTGAAAACTTCTCAAATTTGTCTAAGGACATAAACTTACAAATTCAGGAAGCTGAGAAATTCCAAAAGAGGATGAATCTAAAGAAACCCACACCAAGACAAATCATAATTAAACTTCTGAAAACTAAGAACAAAGAAGAAGTCTTGAAAACAGCCAGGGAGAAGTGACACATCACCTATAGGGGAACACCAGTTTTAATGACAGTGGATTTTTCATCTACAACCATGGAGGATCCATGGAGGAAGGAAATGGCACATTTTTCTAGTGCTGGAAGAAAAAAATTATCGACCACAAATTCTATATCCAGCAAAAATGTACTTCAGGAATGAAAGGGAAATAAAGACATTCTCAGATGGAGGAAAACTAAGAGAATTTGTTACTAGCTGACCTACTCTTAAAGAGTGGCTAAAGGAAGTTCTCTTAACAGAAAAGAAATAATATAAGGTGGCTTGAAACTTCAGAAAGAAAAGAACAAAATGAGTAAAAAAAAAAAAGGTGTAAACATAATAGATTACCCTTCTGATGAGTTTCTTAAATCATGTTTGGTTGAAGCAAAAATTGTAACACCATCTATGGGGTGTTCAACATATGTAGAGAAAGAACTTAAGACAATTATATTTATAAAGTGGAGAGGGTAAGGAGACCTAAATGAAAGTAAGGTTTCTACACTCACTTGAAGTGGTAAAACACTGATACCAGTAGAATTCATGTTACTATATATAATATTGAATGCATAGAGCAACCAATAGGAAAACTATACAAAGTGATATACTAAAAAACACTATAAATAAATTAGAATGGAATTCTCAAAAAAGTTTAAGTAACCCACAAGAATGCAAGAAGAGAGGAATAGTGGAATGAAAAACAGGGAACAAACAGAAAACAAATAATAAAATGGCAGGTGTAAGCCCTAACATAGCAATGATTACTTTATTTATTTTTTTTTATTTTTCCCCCAAAGCCCCAGTAGATAGTTGTATGTCATAGCTGCACATCCTTCTAGTTGCTGTATGTGGGACGCAGCCTCAGCATGGCTGGAGAAGCAGTGCGTCGGTGCGCGCCCAGGATCCGAACCTGGGCCGCCAGTAGCGGAGCGCATGCACTTAACCGCTAAGCCACAGGGCCGGCCCGCAATGATTGCTTTAAATGTAAAAACTCGTGAAAAGATGTTCCACTTCATTAGTCATTAGGGAAATGAAGATTAAAACGAGTGAGGTATCACTGTAACACACCGATCAGAATGGCTAAAATAAAAAATAGTGATAATACTAAGTGCTGGCAAAGATGCAGAGAAACTGGATCACTCATACATTGCTGTTGGCAATGTAAAATTGAACAGCCACTCTAGAAAACAGGTTGGGAGTTTCTTTAAAAAAAAAAATAAAAAGCTAAACATGTAACTACCGTATGACCCAGCACTTGCACTCCTGGGCATTTATCCCAGAGAAATGAAAACTTATGTTCACACAAAACCTGTACGCAAATGTTCATAGTAACTTTATTCATAATAGCCAAAAACTAGAAACAACTCAGACATCCTTTGGTAGGTGAATGGTTCAACAAACTGTAATACATCCTACCACAGAATACTCTCAGCAATAAAAAGGAGTGAACTACTAATACACACAACAACTTTGATGGATCTCAAGGGAATTATGCTGAGTGAAAGAAGCCAATCTCAAAAGTTACATACCCTCCGACTCTTATCTATATGACATTCTTGAAATGACAAAATTATAGAGATGGAGAACAGATAAGTGGTTGCCAAGAGTTAGGGGTGGGGGAAGGGGGAATGGTGTGGCTATAAAGGGGTAGCAAGAGGGAGCCTTGAAGTGATGGGGCACTTCTGGATGTTGATTGCCGTGGTGGTTACATGGATTTGTATGTGTGGTCACATGGCACAGAGCTCCACACACACACACGTACATGTAAAACTAGTGAAATCGGCATAAGCTCTGGATCGTACCAGTGTCAGTTGCCTGGTGTTGATATTGTGCTGTGCAAGACGTTACCATTGGGGGAAACTAGGTGAGGGGGACGTAGGACCTCTGTGTCCATTTTTTGCAACTTCTCATGAATTTATATGTATTTCAAACTAAAAAGTTAAAAAACTGATAGCAAAAGCCTTATGTATCATTTTAGTTTTGAGGATTTTTGAGGATTAATGTAGTATATACTTTTGTCTTTTGCCTTTCACTGCAAGAATTTTGAATTCCATATGGTAGAATGTCTTATGTAGTTTCTAGAACTACAGACCTAGCTGTCTTCAGCTGTCTTTATATGGATTGTGTTACAGACTATTTTAATTATAGACAATTAAAGATATAAAACATCTTCATCAAATCTTTTTTTAAAGATCATAATACAATTTGAAAGATACCTTTTAAGAGAAATCTAAATACCACCTGGTGGCACATGTTATGGGCAGCCTTTCTAGTTATAAAATCAAAAAAGTTACTCTTATCAAAATAAAATAGCAAAAAATTTTATTTCTACCTGTGAAATATTAAGCAGTAATCTTAATTAGTAAAAGCTATTATGACCTTAAGCTTTTTGAGGTCCCCAAATCTTGTCAGGAGGATAAAAGCTATAAATGATCTTCCCAGAAAAATGTGTGCACGTATACACGCATCTTTGTATACTAATTGAGGAGATTCATGGGCCCCAGAAGCCTGTTCTCAAGAACTCTGGTTAAAAGCTCATGCCTACCAGTTAACAAACTGGAAGACTCTGGAAAAATGACATAACTGATATTCTCTGATATTGTAGATATCAATCTAAGTTTACCATGTGTCTTCAGTAAAATAGAAAAAGGGGTCAGGAGTGCAGATATGTGATTAATTTGTAGTTTCTCTGGTTTATATGAGGGAAGGAAATGTTTATCTTTAAAATAATATGGTTCATGACCATTGTATTTTGTTAAAGTGTTAAGATTACTAAATGAGGTATTTAATGTATTTATGCATAAAATATAGATGAGTATGGAGCTGGAGGCCCAGTTTCCCCTATTAGGCCTAGAAAAAGAGAAGAAATTGCTGTATGTTCATTGTAGTGAGTAAGATTGTGGACTTTGGATAGGAGTGACTGTCTGGCATTAGCCAACAGGGACATGATTGAAAAGGCATCTTTCAAGTATTAAGCTAAAGTAAATGAATGTCAATTTATTGTTTATTTCTGAGTTTTTATATGATTAAAACATGTACTAAATATTTGTAGGCAGCACTTTCTAAAATATATTTATTGCTTTGTTCTGATTACAACAGTACTGTTTGTACGGTCTAGAAAATTTGCAAAGTATAAGAAAGTAAAAGGAAGAAAAAATCACCTCTAATCCAGACATAAATGTAAACATTTAAAAGTATCTTTTTATTATTTTTATTTATGCATATGTAAGTTTTTTAAAATACAAATTGGGTCATGCTATATGTCACTATTTTATAACCTGTTTTAAAAGGCAATGTATTGTGAACATTTTCCACATGATTAAGTACACTTCTACATTATCATTTTGAATGTCAGGGTAGTCCACTGTCCAATTACCTATTGTTGAATATAAGTGATTTCCACTATTGTGAGCAATTCTATAATGAACATATTTGTAGAACAATCCTTACATATATTCACAACTAGTTCCTTAGAATAAATTGGTAGAAATAGAATATCTGGGTAAAAGGGTATACACACTAAGACTATTACTAATTTGTGCTCTAAACAGATTATACCAACTGTATTCTTCTAGAAGCATATGGGAGTGATTGTTTTCTTGTACCTGTGCCAACATTGGGCATCAGTTTTTTATTTGATACCACAGAAGGTGAAAAAAATGTACCTAGGTTTTAATTTCTATTTCTTTTATTTTGATTCTTCTGGAAGTTATATTTTTGTCATATGTTTTTTAGCCCATTCATAGTTCTTTTTTTTTTTTTTGTAAGGAAGACCAGCCCTGAGCTAACATCCATGCCAATCCTCCTCTTTTTGCTGAGGAAGACTGGCCCTGGGCTAACATCCGTGCCCATCTTTCTCTACTTTATATGGGACGCCGCCACAGCATGGCTTAACAAGCAGTGCGTCGGTGTGCGCCCGGGATCCGAACCAGCGAACCCCGGGCCGCTGCAGCGGAGTGCGTGCACTTAACCGCTTGCACCACTGGGCCAGCCCCCATTTATAGTTCTTTTATGAATTACATTTCTTTGTCCTTTGCACAATTTTTCTGGTGTTTTTCTCTTCCTAATTTGTAAAAGTGATATATAAATTAAAGATGTTGACTATGTTGGCAGTATTTCCTCAGTTAGTTTAATTATGGTTTTTGGTGTACAAAAACTTTAAAATTTTGTATAGTTACATCTATCAATCTCTTCCTTTCTGGCTTCTGCCTTTAGGTGTTATGCTTAGAAAAGCATTCTACCTCCATATTATGTAACATGTCTTCTGTTTTCTTTTAGAATTTTTGTGGTTTCATTTTTTACATTTAATCTTTAATTCATCCGGAATTTATTTTGTTGTACAGAGTGAGAGTAGGAATCTTTTTCTTGTTAGCCAGATGTCCTAATATCAGTTATTACATAATCCTTCTTTCTCTGCTGGTTTGAAATGCTGTATTTACCCGTGCTAAGTTGTTTATAAATATTTGACTCAGTTTCTGGGCTTTCCATTGGGAATCGTTGATTACCTGTCTGTTCTTTTGCAGAGCCAACGTATTCAGATTATTAGAACTTTATAATAAGTGTTAATAACCTCTACTCTCTCCTTCCTCCTCTCTCTACTTCCTAGTTTGGTTTGCTGGTTCTGTCAGTGCTGTTGTTACACCTACTGCCGCTATCACAGTACTTGGTAGACTTTGTTCTTACATAGAGATTTTTTTTGTGCATTTGTTGTCTATTGCTGTGTAACAGATTATGACAAATTTAGCCGCTTACAACACATATTTATTATCTCCTGATTTCTGTGGGTCAGGAATCTAGGCACCACCTAGCTAGGTCCTCTGCTTCACTTCCTTTTGAGTTGTTCCTTAGTTCTGTCTGGCTGTTGGCCAAAGACCACCTTCAGTTTCTTGCCACATAGGCCTCCCCAGCATGGCCACTTGCTTCATCAAAGCCAGCAAGGGAGAGATTATGCTAAAAAAGTGGAAATTAGAGTCTTTTGTAATCTAATTATTTGTAATCCCCTCAACCTTGAAGTATTCTGTTGGTTAGAAGCAAGTTACTCAAGGGGAGAGCATTACACAGACTGTGACTATCAGGAGGCAAGAATCTTTGGGGGCCATCTAATAGCTGCTTACCACAGTCAGTTTTCTCGACTATATGTATAGTCCATGAGAGTAGGGGTATGTTTCTATGATCATTACTGTCAGACACAGTGCCTGACACATAGTAGGTCCTTAAATAAACATTTGTGGGATAAGAGTGTGTCTCTAATAAATGGCATATGTTTAGATTTGGGGTTTTTTTGGGGACAGTCTAACTATTTGTCTTTTAAGAAACGAAATAAATCTTTTATACTTACTGTTATAAAATTGGTTGGACCTCTGTCATATTACCACATTTGTTTTTTGTGTCCCTGTGCTTTCCCTTGAATATCTTTCTCTTGCTCTGTTGACGGTTTTCTTTCCTTTCCGTTAGACCTACCAGTGCTTGAACCATAGCTGTCCCTGCCATAGTCTCCCTGTACTCTCACTCTTTGCTCATAACCCTCTGCTTCTACTAGAGCCCTCAAAGCTGCCTCAAAGCAGGGGAAGGTTTCAGTTTACAGTTTTAGGGCTCTGGTGCAAGGGGAGGGAGTGCTGTCTCCCTGTCAGTTTAGTGAAAATAGGAGTTGGATATGTTTTGGCATCTTCTGTTATTTCCCAGATGCATTATATACAAATGTGATGCTCTTATAATTGCATAGCATCATACGCTAAGTAAGCGTTTATTAGTAGCCTACAATCTAATCATTCCTTTCAGAATTAAAATATTATGAGATGTGCTTCATTTCAAAGAATTGATCTAATTTTTAGAGTATTCTATACCATGCAAAAATTGGGAAATGTGTGTACTGTGTCACTATCACCCACTCTTGTCCCATACCCACTGCCAGGCAAGACGTAGTCATTCATTCATTCAGTCATCCCATTTATTCTTACAACATTCACTCTCCCTTCATGTACCAGGCACTGGGAACACAGGTAATTAAGACACTGGGAGTCTGGTGAGGGAGACAGGCATGAACGCAAAGGATTTGTGTGTGTGTATGTTGGGTGGGAGGGTTATTTCTTTGTCCTCATATTTGGAAAAAATCGTCCTACATATATCCAGTGTAATTCATATAAAAATTATTTTGGTGAGGGTATGAGGTGAGGAATCTGTTTCCTCTTTTCCAAGTAGTTATTTGAGCAATCTCCTCTCTGGTTTGAAATGCCACTCTTTTTTTTTTTTATTTTATTTTATCAGTGCAGTTTATTTTTTTATTTTATTTATTTATTTTTTTTGTGAGGACGATCAGCCCTGAGCTAACGTTCATGCTAATCCTCCTCTTTTTGCTGAGGAAGACCAGCTCTGAGGTAACATCTATTGCCAATCCTCCTCCTTTTTTTTCCCTAAAGCCCCAGCAGATAGTTGTATGTCATAGTTGCACATCCTTCTAGTTGCTGTATGTGGGACGCGGCCTCAGCATGGCCGGAGAAGCGGTGCGTTGGTGCTTGCCCGGGATCCAAACCCGGGCAGCCAGCAGCGGAGTGCACACACTTAACCGCTAAGCCACGGGGCCGGCCCATGAAATGCCACTCTTATCATGTGCTAAGATACAGTGTAAATTGAGTGTTTCTAAGGTCTCTACCATTTTACTTAGCTGTCCAACTATTTTAAATGTTGTAACTTTATAACACATTTCAATATCTAGTGATGAAAGTCCATCATTTTTTAGTTATATTTCAAAATTTCCTTGTGTTCAGCTGTTTATTCTTTGCATGGTTTTCTTTGTTTTGTATTGCTGGTTCCTTAAAGGTGATTAATTGAAAATCTGACTTCCAAGTTCTTTAAAGTCCTAGTTTAAATTTAACTTTTATATTTCTTTTTGTGTGTGTGTGAAGAAGATCAGCCCTGAGCTAACATCCAATGCCAATCCTCCTCTTTATGCCGAGGAAGACTGGCCCTGGGCTAACATCCGTGCCCATCTTCCTCTACTTTATATGGGACACTGCCACAGCATGGCTTGACAAGCGGTGTGTCGGTGCGCACCCGGGATCCGAACCTGCGAACCCTCAGGCCACCGCAGCAGAGCACACGCACTTAACCGCTGTGCCACCAGGAGGGCCCTAAATTTAGCTTTTAATATACTTTTCTCTGGGTGAATATGAAACATGAAAGCTGATACCAGGTATCGTTTTCATTTTTGCTCATTTTGAAATATTTTAGTGACTTCTTTTGCTGTTCAATACCACTGAGACTTTAACTGAAAAGTACAGTGTTTAAAAGTTGGTATAGACTTTGCTATTTGAAATTTTTTAATTTCTTTTTTTATTGCGGTAACATTGGTTTGTAACATTGTGTAAATTTCAAGCGTACTTCATTATACTTCTCTTTCTGCATAGATTGCATCATGTTCACCACCCAAATACTAATTACAGTCCATCACCACACATGCTATTTGAATTTTAATTTAGTTTTTTTTTCATACCTTAGGTTTAGCCCAAAGGCGTCTCTTCCACCACCTTTTCAGATGCATCTCTCAAGAACCTGTACTGAGGAAATGAGTGGTATGTTTTCTAAACATTGTCTTCATGATACATCTTGGCTTCTGGAGCCTCAGAACCCTAAGAAAAATGTCTGCTGGTGGCTTTTGACATTTGCTATCACCTTCTCCTACATGGAATATATCTCTCCTCCTTTCTGTCCTAATTTCTTTAAATTTTGAATTGAAGTGAGTAAAGAGAAAATAATACCTCCAAGGATATCATTATTATATCCTGACTTGAGGCCTTCCTCACACCAAACCTATTCTGTTTTACTTCCATTGTCACTTGCAGAGATACTTGTGTCCCTTGTCACCCTCTCACTCATTAGAGGGTAGGATTTAAAGTACATAAATATGGGACATCAACTCATAAAATAGGTTCAGATACTCCGGCATTTAAAAGCTGGGACCCTAAACTGTGCAGTGACCACGAAACATCTAAGTGTGAATGCAAGTGATTCCTCAGGTTATAAAGTCCCAAAGAGCTGTTAAGAAAATAACAGGAGACATAATAAAGTCAAAGAATCTGAAGATTAGAAATGTACCCACTTGCCATCTTGTCTCTCCAACCAAAGTGTAAATCCCCTGTTCATAGCCCCACTGAGGGATACAGTGTTTTCAGAATTAGTATTTGTGTTGCATGAAATTTAAATGTGATTTTAGATAGCTTGCTGCTTTAAGTGTGATTCTTACTGAGTTGAAATCATTTTTTCTATAAAAACATATCTCCAATATTGCTTATGAAAATTAATTGAACAATATGATTTTTGTTTATATCAGTTACTTTTACATATGCTATTTCTGAAACATGACTACTCAGTAAAGTTGTATACTTTTTAGAGGTCATAGATCCTTTTAAATTAGAATAAGCTTTTTCTACAGAACCAAGAGGACTTGTTTCGGGAGGATTGCGATTCACCTGGCAGCTGATATGCACACACTTATGCACAACCTCCCCTACCTGCTGGCAGCCTAGATTACTTCCTTTATTTGTTTAACAAAAGGTACAGAAGCTTGGGTGATTCCAGTGGCCCCACTGAGCAGGTGTGTTTGCAAAGACTATGCATCAGCTGCTGACACTCTCTATTTAAGGGGGGGTCTGGCCAGTTCTGAGAAACTCGTCTTTTCCTTCCTCCTGGTCCTTTTATATCATTATTTGGGAAAAACTTAAATAAATTAGTTATGCCTTTAATAGGAAGTATATATGGACATCCTGGACCCTTCTGTTCTCTGAGCCAAACTAAGTCTTAGCAAGGCCAGGTCTCATTCTCTGTGGAGGGTAAAGCAGAGTCAGCATCCAGCCATCCTCAAGGAAGCTCACCCTTTGGCTTCCTGGCATCCTCAGAAGCCAGTGTCCCCAAACCAGCCTGTGAGTCTCTACCAGGCTGTTAAAAATAAAGTTGTTGAATCCCAGCAGAAATACTATCTGATTAAAATATGGACATATATTACTTGTAGATGGTAATTTTTAATATACTCTGATCTGTATCCCATTGAAATTAAGAAAAGGTTTGGAATGAATTTCATAGTTCTTAAAATTCCAGAACTGCTATAATGGACACTCAGATTTCTTTATTGTCTCAGGATATTAACTCAGGCATTCTAAGTTTTAAATAAAAAATAAATGTGAGTAAGAGAGCTAGCCAAACTCTCTAAATATTCACTTATGAAAGATAAATGATTTGGATTGGAGAAACAAAAACAAATCATTAATCTGTGGGCACCAAACCTTTTGTTTATGTTTATAACCCGAGGCTAGGATGATTATTGTGGGTGGATCAATTTTCGAACATCTGTGTATTACTAAATTATTTTTTCTCATTAATAAAGGGGAAAATTGATTACATTTTAAAACTTGAACAATTTTTTACTTTCTATAAAATGTTCTTTGATCTTACTATTAAGGCATTATCTTTATAATCTGTGGAATATAGCTTCAAATTCAGCATTGCATATATACCATTATTGTCTAAAATTTAACTTTTCTTTGTTGCAGTTAGAAAATGATTAATTATATAATGTTTCATTATTCTTTATGCAGCAAGATCATCCTGATGTTTAAATTAAACTGTGAGGCACCCTTGCAAAATAAAGGGGCTAGGTTTCCTCTGCTGTGGCTGTTGACCCTGCTCGTTATTTCAGGGTTAAAACTGAGACTGAAGCTGTCATGGTCCTGCTTTGCCTAATCCTGCTCCTTCTAAGTCCCTTGACTCCCCACAAGCCTGAAGTATAACAAAGCCTAAAGACACAAATACCAGGTAATGAGAATAATCTAAAATGTTAAGCATTTTGGTTAATTCTATCATTTTTTTAATTTAAAGATAATTTAAATCAGACTGTTGAAAAACCAAATGTCATGCCTCCTGCCTCTTAAACTTATAAAATGGATAAGGTTTAAAACCACAGAAAGGAAATACTAAACAAGCATAACAATGGCATTTGGATATCTAAGCTCCCATATTTTTACAGAGTTATATAAAGAAGAACTTAAGGAATTTTACAGCAATTCAAACACTGGCCTCATCTTTGCACGATACGTTTCTCCTTATTTCTCTCTCCTGATGCCTCCTCCCTGCCTCACTTTCAGATTTTGAGTTATTAGTCATATTACCTTTTATCCAAGGAGCATGAAGCACTTTCTGTAATATTGCTTCATTAATTTTATCTCTAAGATTAACACATATTGGTTCTCATTTATAGGAGAAGTATGTCAGGGTTGAGGGCTGTGTGTGTTATAATTGCTGTTTTTATATATTTTGTTTTAAGTTACTTTTAAATGTGTTTAATATGTATGCCATTTTGCATTAAACTGCTACCAACAGATACTGATAGCTTTGCCATTTTAATAACTTGAACTCACTGGTAATGAAACCTATTTTTTAGTCTCAAATTTTCTGTGCTTGTTCCTGAGGATTTTTAAGCACTTTCAGCTGAACAGTTTTTAGTTATTTTGGCTAATTATTTATAGAGTACCTGATTTTTGTTTTAAAATGAATATAGGGTTCAGATTTAAAATTTTTACAATCTTTGGAGAAAAAAATTGAAAAGTGAGCTGACATCAATTTCCATACCTGTTCCTACTTGAGAGTCTATTATTATAATAAAATGATGGATCAGAATAGTTTATTAGAAATCTTAATTCAGCTAGAGACAGAGACAACTAGATTCTTAAACCAAAGTAACTGACTTTTAGATGTTTCTTAATGTTTTTATTTATATAGTATATATTCAATGACATAACTATTTTAAATGGTAGCACTGGGGGCCGGCCCCATGGCTTAGCAGTTAAGTGCGTGCATTCCGCTACTGGCGGCCCGGGTTCGGATCCCCGGCGCACACTGACGCACTGCTTGTCTGGCCACGCTGAGGCGGCATCCCACATATAGCAACTAGAAGGATGTGCATCTATGACATACAACTATCTACTGGGGCTTTGGGGAGAAAAAGGGGGAAAAAAAAAAAGGAGGAGGATTGGCAATAGATGTTAGCTCAGGGCCAGTCTTCCTCAGCAAAAAGAGGAAGATTGGCATGGATGTTAGCTCAGGGCTGATCTTCCTCACATACATACATACATACATACATACATACATAAATAAATAATAAATGGTAGGATTAACAGCTCTTGTTGCCTCTAAGCTTGTAGAATTAAATATGCATGATGATTATTGTTTGGTAGAGGGCTTTTATTTCTTTAACTTAATATATGTTTTGGCCCCAACCCTATTGGGCAAAGTGTAGGCTACTCCCTCTTTATAAGCACCTGGCCCAAAGACAGGTTCTATTTTTGTAACCACTTTTTCCTCCAGGCCACTGACACTCGCACAAGTCTCATGCACTTTCCAGACAAGAGTCATTCATTCATCCATCCATCCTACTTATTCATACAACATTCACTATGCACCTGCAGGTACCAGTCACTGCCTTAGCTGCTAAGAACATCTAGGGCTATGTGACATGTTAGATTATACAGTGTGAAGTGGGAAAACAAGAAGAAATATCCAACTCTGGAAATATGGCTGTTTCCCTACTTATAAAGTCAGGAATGTTTAATGGTCACAGGAATGTTACCTCTGATTTATGTGGAATGTGGGGTTTGTTCTTATAATGGGGATTCTAAGGTTGCTATTCAATTCATTCCACTTTTACTCATTTCTGGGAAGAATTTTCTCTCTGGATGCAAGTTTAGCAGCGTCAATGTTGGTGATGACCCCCTCAGACTTCTCTAATCTTGAGGGGACTTTTGACGTTTCACCAGACTGCTCAATTTGAAGGTTCAGGGCATCGAGCTCCTTCTTGGAATGCATATGCTTCTTTTATTTTTTAAATCAATAGACATTCTTGAACTAATAGCATATCTTCAGTGAACATAGAGCCTTTTTTTTTGTTGTCAAGATACATATATAACTCACTATTAAGCTTTGATAAAGAAGTCATCTTTGGAGTAAATATTTTAAAAATTAACTTCACAGATTCTTCTTAATGTATTATGTTTCTGGTTACCTTAATATTATACTCCATGATAATTACTGGTATTTGTGTAGCTTAATTTATGGCTTTTTGCAGGGAGAAATTTTCAACCTTGCTACTCTACATGTCTGCAAAGCCCCAAAATTTTTCTTGCTAGGATTGTAGGTGAGAGAGTATCTATCTCTTTGATGTTAAAACTTGACCTAAAATGAGTGGTTTCCTACTAAATTTCAGGTGCTGAAACAACTGACTTTTTATTTTCTGGTTGCTCAGATTCATCTTTGTTGCATGATTATTTTCTATCCAGGCAGTGAAGGTGGAACGTGAAGCAAAAATATAATAATACCTTTTTTATCTATCTGCTGTCTCTCTCAACTTTGGATGGGAATGTTTAGATGCAATCACTATCAATTATTAGGTATGAGAATTTGCTTAGTGAACATTGTATCTAGGATGCCAAAAACTGCCAGTCTTATTAACAGCCATTGATATTTTTCAAAACTGTTTTGAATATTTTGAATAAAAACCTCTGAATATTTCTTAACAGCCTACTGCTAAACAGTTTTAAGCAGTTACACCATTGTTTATTTTCCCTTTCTTCTTACTTCTTGCCTTTTGCCTTGCTGAAAAGCAGAAACACTGATAGCATGCCCAGGGCTGATAACTACTACAAGCAGGGTCAGACAGTCTCAAACACAGTATAGAAAAGTTAGGGTAAGAAAGACTTGGTAATGTGTATCTCTCTATATGGCTTGTTGTGTAACTGAAGAAGGAATCCAAGTGCAATGTATTTCTTTCTCTAAAAAAAGAAGTGCTTTCTCTCCCAATCATATAAACATTCTATATAAAAAACATTGAAAAATGAAGTTATAAAAGAAATAAAAGGCACCCATCATCCTATCACCCAGAGATAACCACTTGCAGGGATTTCCATTGGAATATAAGAATGGGCAGCATCAGCTTCAGGGACCAAATAGCAGCTCTGAAATTTTACCTCCATGGAGGTTCTAATCAGCTGCCACTTCACAAGGATGTTGGATGACATTTTGATGCAGGCAGAAGGATGCTTTGAATCTGTTGTTCTTAATCTTCTGGATCTCTTCAACAACAAAATGTGGACTGAGAGTTCTGAAAGCTAAAGAGACTATAGAGTCATATTAACAATGATGAAGCAGTTCCATAGTGTTACTAGGCAACTTGTGAGGGAAATGGAAATTGTACAGAAGCTGTCTTGGAAAGGCAAAGAGCCCAAGATGGTAAGCCTCTAGACCAAGGATACTGGAATCTAAGGAGGCCTATTAGGTCCAGTATTTACAAAATGCTTCTATGAGCCAGCCACCGACCTGGGTGCTAGGATAAGAGCAAATAAGACAGGGGGCCGGCCCCATGGCTTAGCGGTTAAGTGCGCCCGCTCCGCTACTGGCGGCCTGGGTTCGGACCCCGGGCGCGTACTGACGCACCACTTCTCTGGCCATGCTGAGGCGGCGTCCCACTTAGAGCAACTAGAAGGATGTGCAACTATGACATACAACTATCTACTGGGGCTTTGGGGAAAAAAAGGAGGACTGGCAATAGATGTTAGCTCAGAGCTGGTCTTCCTCAGCAAAAAAAAAAAGAGGAGGATTAGCATGAACGTTAGCTCAGGGCTGATCTTCCTCAAAAAAAAAAAAAAAAGTTAACAAGACAGAATCACAACCCTGTGAGGTAGGCACTATTATTATGTCTTCCATTCTGCATTAGGAAACTTGGACCCGGAGAGGTGAGTTCCATTGCCCAAGGTCACGTAGCTAGTCTGTAGCAGAGCCAGAATGGGAACCCGGACAGTTTGGTTGTTGAGGCTCTCTCTGAACCACTCACTGTTCTTTTTCTAATTCCTTGCAGTATAAAGCTAGGTTGTTTATTTGAGATCTTTCTTTTTTCTTAATGTTAGCATTTACTGCTGTAAACTTCCCTCTTACATATCTGCAATATATAAGATTTCATCTCATAGCATATGCAATTTACATATTCAATATATGTAGTGAAATTGATGACTATTGTGGAAAACTTATCACACTTGGCTGAAACATTTCAAAACATACCACTGACGTATATTTCTTTAAATACTGCCAAATAAGAAATGAGCAAAAGAAACTCCTATTCATAAGAAGTAAAAACATTGGGTTTTGGAGTGTTTCATTCCTGAAACAATGTTTTGAACTACGAAGGGAAATCACCAAATCTCAAAGGGAAAAAGGACTTCACGAAACAGTGCCTGTGCACTCAGTAAGCAGAAGAGTCACGGAAGGCCAGACGTCTGGCGTTTCATGAAAGCAAGTGCTTGGTGATCAGGAGACTGGACCCTGCCCCTCTCTTCAAGAAATGACAGATGTCTGGGAATGGCTCAATCCAAAAGAGCAAGTTTTACCCAAATTCCTGCCCTCTGTGATGACAGCCCCTCAGAGACCAAAACTCTAACAAGAATTTGTGAGCCGAAGCATAAACTTCTCTCTTTTCTCACAGGAAGAAAAGCCTTTCTTGGAAGTTCACCAGGCCGAGCATGTCAAAAGCTCCTGAGGAAGTTGCAGTGAGTTGAAGATGGATTTATTCACCCCTCGGTGTTTGCACCAACACTGATGGGCCCTGATGGCGTGAGAGACCCTGAGATGACTGGAAGGGCACTTGTTTGCTAATCACAGAAACTCAGCTCAAACTGGATGAAAGACAAAAATGAAATTTATGGCCTTACATGATTTAAAACATGAGATAGTTTCAGATACAGATGGATCCAGGGGCTTAATTGATATCATCAGAACTGGATCTCTTTCCCTCACCTCTTCTCAGCTCTGCTTTTTTTTGGTGAGGAAGATTGGCCCTGAGCTAACATCTGTGCCCATCTTCCTCTATTTTGTGTATGGGACACTGCCA